TGTTGTTGAATTTGATGCTTATGCTGGGTTTTGGTTCGGATAACGTGCGCGCCTACAATTGGGAGATTATCCGGGTAAACTTTGTGGAAAAGAAAAAGAGAAAAGGCTGTTGAACACTAGGTGAAAATGTAAGTTTATATTATTATTCACATTCTCACCTAACTTTTCCCTTTCCCTTTCCCAAATCCCTCCTAAAATTCCTCAATCCAAACCACAGCGGGCGTTAGTGAAATCTTTTATTCATGGATTTTAAGTTTACTGAGGGAAATTGATCTCTGTAAGCTACCCAGAGTAAGCATAAACTTTTCACCTTCGTTCATTTCAACTCAAGTCAAAACACAACTTACATGGAGTATATGGTTTTCATATAATTTTTTTTGGTTTGATTCTTTTAAATTTTATTAGTAAATTGATTGCTTACATCTACGTGGTATGTGATTTTTATTAAACTATTTATATTGTAATTTATATGTGTCTCTTAATTAATATGTGATATATATATATATGAAAATTAAAGATTTATAATAAATAAATTGATCTATGATCTAAATATAATTTAAACAATAATAAAACCCTAACTATAACCAAAAAACTTAAACAATAAAACAAAAAATTCATATAATATAATAATGATTATAATTAGGAATATTGAGATTAAAGTCAACATCATATCTCAGAACTCGGGTTAATCAGTTGTGATACTTGCATTTCACGAAGGTGAGTCAAACAAACTCCACTCCCACGCCACGTCGTTTTCACTGACTCAAAATAGAGCAAACATCACCTCTTTACCCATTCATTGGAAACACAAAACCAACCTTTTTTATATTTTTTTATTTTTAATTTTTTTATCGACGAAATGTTAATTATTATGTTAGAGAATACTTATTGGCGAAGAAACTCGTCCATCTTATTTTGCAAAGCAAACTAATTATTGCACATCTCTGTAATTCAATCCTCCCAATGAAAATGACACGTGACCCCTTTGAGATTTTAAGCCCTAAGGAAGGTCATGGTGTTCTCAACTATGGTTAGGTCCCACAAACTAGCCATTGAAGGTATAAACTAATTGTCATACCTTATTAAACTTTTATTTATAGTTTAGCTTATAATATTATAAAATTTATTGAATCTTAACTATTATGATATATTTGCATAATTTAAGTATAGGATGCATTAATATTATTAATATGTCAATATATTTTTTATACATCAAGAGTTAAGTCTTTGTTCTTGAGCCGGGAATATATGCATGATGAAAAGTATAACAATTTAGTCATTAGGTATAATATTTCATTTATTATAAAAATGGTAGAATATTTTATTTATTTTATTTTATTAAATGAAATGAAATAATATTGTAACACTTAATATTTCGATTAAAGTACAGGAATTTCATAATTATTTTTCACAATTTTTTAATAGATTCATACTTACAGTGTTTGCAAGGTCACTTTCACATGATACACTATCAAAGTTAGATTAAATTTATTATATCATCTGTTAAGTAATTCAGCATATGACAAAAATTGACTCAAAAATTTTTTTTTGATGTGACTTCATTCTGTTCATTGAGTTATTGGCGATAAATTTTTAAGCATCATTTGATTTTTTTTCTCCATATAATTTGACTAAAATGTGTGGCAGTGAGGCACATTATTTTTTTCCTTGAACTTCACACAGTTAGGACAATTCCTGCTTCAACGTCGTTAACTTTGTTTAAAAGTAAGTTGCAATAGATCTTTTATAGTTTTTGTTTCACCACCTTCTTGTTTTTCTTCTTACTCAACATTATAACTCATTGTAATAAAATATATTTGATGAGTAAGAGTTTGACACGATATCATATTGTTTGAATTTCAAAATTCATTTTTTCTCAATAATGTGATTTTTTTCTGTGAGGGGAAAAAAAAATACAATTACTGTTGTGATGGAGATGTTTTGCAAAGTATTGGTTTGTTATTTGAAAATGTTTGTTATCACACATGAAATAACACCTTTGCCGACAAAAAAAATTGGTCGCTAAAAACTCATTTTTTAGTCGGCAAAAGTTATCCGCGACCAATTTTTTATTGCTACTTTGGTCGCCAATTGAGGGTCGGCAAAAGTAAATTCGGTGACCAAAATTTTTGTTGGTCGGGAAAAGTGGATTTGCTGACTAAATTTTTTGTCGCTAAATATATCATTACTGCGACTAATCTATTTGTAGATAAAACACTTTGGTTGCAAAAAAGTGATTTTTTTCCCGACCAAATATCTTAGTCGTTAATTGTCACATTCCATGACCAAAACAGATTAGTTGCCAAAGTCGAGGAATTGCCGACTAACAATTTAGTCGCCAAAAGGTAAGAAATTGCCGACCAATGATTTTAGTTGCAAAAGTATAGGAATTTGCCGACCATTTTTTAGTCGCCAAATCTCTGTTCTTTTTTTTTTTTTTAAAACAATCAATTTTTGTTATTAAACATTCAATCCAATATCTAACAAAATTCATTCAACCCAACCACATAATAGGGAACAATAACATTTTAAAAAAAAGAAAAGCTTAGGAACAAAATAATTAACAAATTTCCTTTCTTGTAACTCACTAAATCATCAAACAAAATAATTAAAATTCCATTTAAAATAAAGATAAAACAAAGATAAAAAAAAATGAAATAGCCACTTGGAAGTATTTCAGCTCTTACAAAACTGCAGTAGCAGCAAAAAGGAACAACATGACTGGAAACATTGATAAGATTATCTCATCAGACAAATAGATCCACAAGCAATTTTGTGTCCTTTGAATAGCAAAGAATGAAAGGCAATACCCAGAACCAACAGCCAGTTTTCGAGCAATTTTTTCATTGATTTCTGATGAATCCCAACTAAGTAGGATTGATTTGTCCTTTTCAAGAGCTGTAATATGTAATAACCCCGACCTCTGATTGATGTTAATCTGCACTTAATTATGCCTAACAGTAATTTAGAAGGAATCTGGGACTAATTTGCATATGTATTGCATTAATTATGTGTTTCTATCTGTTTGCTATAAAGTGATCTGTGTATGTGTTGACTTTGAACTGCAAATTGAAAGCCTTATCGGCGGCTGATTCGGAAATTGATTAGTGTGTTATACTAGTTAGATTTTATGTGAATTTATGATAGGCTTAATTAAAATTCGATTTGGAATGTGTAAATTAGATTAAATAATGTTGAATTGCATTAGTTTGCCTAATTACACAAATGCCACTTAGTGGCTTGATTTGAGACCAATTTTATCACACCTTATTACACTTAGAAGCATCTCTCCTCAGCCTTTTTCTTGATCAAACCGTAGGAGAGAGAGAGAGAGTAGGAGAACTACATTTGAACTTAGAAGAATTGAAGGCAACTTGAAAGATTAGGCTACTAAGCTTGAAATTGAAGACCTAAAGGTAGAGAATTCATCCTTTTAATTATGAATGTGAGTTGTTCTTGCTAGGTTCATGGTGAAATTGGTGTTTAAAGTCAAGATTTAGCTCAAAGTGTGGTTTTGAGAGTCCATCCATACATGCATGCATAAATTTCCATGCTTTGAGTTTGAATTCTAAGATTTCTTCCATGCATGTGTTACTTTCACTCACATTATGGTCATTCATCTTGTTGTCCATCAAATTATCAAGTTTGATCATGTTTTGGAGGGTTTGGATTCAATGAGATTCTTGCATGTTGTATTAATGGCATGCTCATAGAGTTCATGTTGATTTTGCACAAATTAGGTTGCTCTTGGGCCATGATTTCTTGAAATGATTTTTTTAATACATGTTGTTTTATGAGTTATTATATGTTTCCTCAAGTATTGGCCTAGAAAAATGAGTTTTGAAGGCTTAAAGGTTGAGTTTCATGCTTGGAGGTCAATCTGGATTTTCCAGAAATTTGACCCACGCTCGAGCGGGGACTTTCACGCTCGAGCGTGAATCCTGAGTACCTGCACTTCCGCTCGAGCGTCGAGAGTTACGCTCGAGCGTGAAATGCGTATACCTAGAAGTTTGTGTGTTTTGCAGTCCGCTCAAGCAGGAGAACCCACGCTCGAGCGAGACTCTGAGTCTTACGCTCGAGCAGGGGTCGAGCGCCCGTCGAGCGTGAAAATCATGCATCCAGTACTTTTGTCGATTTTACAGTCCGCTCGAGCGAGGAAATTCACGCTCGAGCGGATCTTCAATATCTGCATGTCTGCTCGAGCGGGGTAATCCACGCTCGAGCATAGACCTTATCTTCAGCAAAATTTAGGAATTGGTTTTCAAGGCATTTTTGCATCCTCATTCCATCCTAGGCATTTCTAGGCCATGTTTAAGACCCTTTAATGAGGATTAAAGGTTAGAAACACACTAAGAACCAACGACGTAAGTTTTGTACAATTAGAACGTGTGTTTCAAGTGTGTATCTGTTATGTGTTACGTAGGTCACGTGCCGCGTTCTGTCTGACTAATCTGCTCTGTCTTTTTGTCTCAAGGCCAACTGTGAGTAATAACTTAGTAAAGTTATGTTCAACTGTATTTATTTTCTGTGTGATAAAATGAGATATGTTTTCTGAAATGATATGTTCTGTACAATGAATGATTATTCAATTTTTGATATGTATTCGTGACATCCTTAGCATCATGTGATATTTATTGGCTGTTACCCGGTATCGGAGGTTTCTTTATGGAACTTATATCCGTCTACACTCTATTACCCATACCGGAGGCCCCGTCATGGGGGCTCAGTTTCTGTTCTATTACCCGGATCCGGAGGTTCCTTTAAGGAACTGGTTACTTGTAACCCTCACGTGTCTGTCTCTGTTTGTATCTACTCTGTTATTGCTAATAGATGTATCACGTAAACTCAAGCATGAATTATTATTTCTGTATATGATCTGGACCAACTATGGATTTGATACGAAACTGAATTATGATTTCTGCATCTGTACGGACTCACTCATTGAAACCCCTTTCCTCTGTTATTATTCACTGGGCTTTCGCTTACAGTTTATATTATGTATGTAGGTGAGCCGGCATGTGAACAGGGCCAGAGTTAACGGCCTTCTGTTCTGTTTTTGTCAGCCAACCGTTGTGCCTCCCGAGGAGGTTCCGATCGAAATCTAATGCCATTGCTGTTTTTTTTGTATTCATGCTAATCTCTGTGACTGTTTTGTAAAGTCAGGTCTTGGGATGTACACTTCTGTAAATACTTTATAAATATTGGTGTCCTTTGATTGGTATGCTCATGTATATATATATATATATATATGTAAGTTTTGAAATCTACTGTCTCATGTACGTTACCATAACTCATTGGACCTTGTATATTTTGTATTATTGCTTCCGCAGCCCTTTATTATATGCTTATCTGTTCAGAGGCCTTTGGTAATCCACGGATTACTAGCCGGTTACGATGCCTAACCTACAAGGGCGGGTTTGGGTCGTGACAAGAGCTGCATAACTCCTACAGTGAGGGACTTCCAGGACTTGATGATATCAGGCCATTTTAAATTTGGGTCTTGTTTCTTCAAATTAACTACCAGTTGATCATCATCCATATACCTGAGGAACAAATAGACTTCAATTCAAACATGTAATGATTGGTGACTAAGAACAACCATATATGATTGATTGCACAGGCCATATTGTTTCAGCAGGCTTAATCTTCTCGTACAGACAAATAGTTTCCATCAGAGTCTTGAGAGACCCAGAGTGCTGTACTCTGATTGTTAAAGAGCTCTCTTCCGCATCCACAAATATATCTCTAGAACTTTGGATATCATGGCCCCCAAGTTCTAGTCTCAATTGCACCTTAGTGGGACCATCCAAAAACTGCATCAAACATCACAATTTAACTGTCTTTTTGAGGATAAATCCAATTTGGTAAAGAAATTGATATACCAAAGCAGAAAATGGAATGATAGATGAAACAAGACCCTTATTTCCCACATTTTCTTTTGATAAGTGAGATACCAAAAACAGAAACCATACAAGTTTAATGCTGCTCATGACCATAAAATAAGTAGTTACCAAGTCTGCCAAGCATCACTGGTTTTGAAAAGTACGAGTGGAACACCAACTCTTGTGAAATGTGTATATGCCATTGCAGCAGAGTTTGTTTATGTACTTTCAGCAACAATCATAGCTGATGGTTCTTTAAAATAAAAATTACTAAGAAAGTAACTGAATCATGAAATCGGTCTAAGAAGATCATCAATACATGTATTAATAACAAAACTTATATTTTTTATTAAAAAAAAAATCGATATGGTATATAATGTTAGAATTTTTTATAAAATAGTAGTTTCAGTATATACACATAGGAAACATAATTAAAACTCAACTAACAAATCGATAAGGTCTCACTTTGAAGCTAAGTTCCATGCATTTATCCTAAATTTTGTAGCTTTCTCAGTATTTTATAGGCACATACGACCATTACCATCAAAACAAAAGCTCAAAAATCACTCAGTAAAGTTTTTATGCAAAGAGGAAAACAATATGGCCAATCATGACAATATTCAATTATAAGATGTCAAGTGGACTCATTTTGACATTATAAAATAGTACAATATTTATTTATTTACTATTTTATAATGGATAAATAATGGATACGACGACTCTGGAGGTACTACTAATTGAGTTGAGGAATCAAAGTATATCAATTGCTTTCTAGGTTGTATTGCGATGCGTTTTTAACTATTTAAAATAAAAATATCTTCATTTCGAAACATGTCCAATGCAATGATTCCACCTCACAATTTAAGCAGTAAAGAGTTCATTCAACACCTTACTTCTCACCTGAAGCATTTTCAAACGATGAGGCAAATGCTCCGGTTGTTGAGTTGCAGCTACATCTTTGAGAAATGACACATGTTCTGCATTTTCAAAAGTACAAAGAAAGCTTTTCGTTAATAATTAGTACCAGGTATTCACAAATGAAATCTCAGCAGTAGTTATAGAAGTTTATGTCTTCATTGTTTGAATGTAACAGAGTATATATACATCAGTTGTATCGTAACTAAACTAACCTAACCTAACCTAACAACTACCAACCACATTCTAATTAACAATATAGTAAAACTGTAACAATTATCATTCCCAACTAACTTTTGGTCTTTTGGTTACACAGACTTCCTTATCCTCATTTGCATTTCATACAAAATAGTGTCAAACAAACCAGACGTGCAAAATCTCACTGACCATCAACATGCCACTTATTCAAAATAAAAGCCATCAAACATTTTTATAATAATTACAGTAGCACTCTTCATGTTCCAGCCTCACCTACATACATATATGCATATATATACAGAAGCAAACTTCAAATAATACAATTCCAACTCCTAAAGCAATTAAGCTTGGCAATCAAAAACAAAAACTCCTATGGCATTTAAATAAGTATGTAGGCTTGTGTTGCAATTGAAATCATCGGCAATAAATTCTCATTAATTGAAAATCAAATCTGTTGAACAAATAATACACATATGAACGCCTTTTTTTCACATCTTTATCCTGCAAGGAACTGCAAATCTATAAATCTATGCTATATACAAGTGAAGAGTTGTACCAGTAGATGAAGAGGAGTAGCATTGGAATGTAGCTCTGCGGCGGCGGCCGAAAAGTAGGGTCGGTAAAGCAGCGGTGCGTGGACATCCGGAAGATGAGAGGGAGAGCTCTCATCAGCGGTAATGGGAGATGAGTTGCACTAAAATAGAGAGGGAGAGTTGCGGTAATTATTAGGGTAGAGTCGCACGAAGTTGGAGATTGAGGAAGAGACGGAGAGAGCGAGAGAGGGAGAGAGAAGAGAGGAGCATGGTTACTTGGACGCCGGAGGGAGTTCCGCCCACGTAGGTGTTGTTATCTGTGGCGCCACTGCGAGAAAGAGAATGAGTGAGGCTAACTAGGGTTGGGGCAATTGAGAATGAAATTAGGGCCAATTTTTTTTTGTTTGAACGATGCTCCCTATTTATTCAAAATAAGGATGTGAGAATATTAGGTATGAAAATAAAATTTTAAAAATTTATAGGTGTGATTAAAAAAAAATTATAATCAAAAAAATTATTTAGTATTAATTGAAAAGTAATATAAAAAATAAATATTATCATATGTGATTAAAACATTAATTTGATTTTTTCCTTCACACTTTTATTAAAAGTGTCATGTATATTAAAAGTAATATACAAAATGACGTCGTTTTACAATCGGCGACCAAATTTTTTTGTCGCAAAAAAATTTCAATTCCCGCCTCCATGTTTCAAATTTCCCTTCCAAACTTTTGGCGACCAAAAGACCAAATTAGTCGCAGAAAAGGTACCTTCACCGACAAACTTTTTTGGTCGCCAAATCTCAATCAACGACGACCAAAATATTAGTCGCTAAAAGTACTAATTTGGCGATTAATTTTTTTTTAGTTGCGGAAAATAAATTTTTGGCAACTTTATTTTGGGTCACCAAAGGAAAAAAAAAATTATTTCCCATTCGGCGACTAAATTGTTTTAGTAGCCAAAACTCAATATACGGCAACTAAAATATTTTCAGTCGGGGAAAATAAGTTTTTGGCAACTAAAATTTTGGTCGCCAATTCCACAACCAACTTATTTTTGATCTTCTGCGGCCAACTTATTTTTTGGTCGGCAAAATGTGACCTTCCGCGACCAAATTTGTAGTTGGTCGCCAAAGGCATACCACTTTCTGCGACCAACTCATTTTTTGGTCGCCAAAATATGACCTTCTGCGACCAACTCATATTTGGTCACCAAAAATAATGTTCATTCGCGACTAATTAATATTTGGTTGCCAAAAGGTAACTTCTAACTACCAACTTTTATATTGGTCACGAAAAGTGGTCGCTAAAAGTGCAGATTCTTGTAGTGTATAGACACTTATTTGTATGACATGTATATATATATATATATATATATG